AAGGGGGGTTGAATAGATCACTTATTAAAAGTAGAGTCGGCGCTACAATATTTGGTTTTAAAATATTTTTAGGCAGAAGTGGCCGAGGAACTATATTCGTCTAAAACAAACCTTTACCGAAAAACCGGATACGCGCAAAGCCTATGAAATCCGATAAAAACGAGATTTAAGAATCACTAATTTGAACAAACATCAACCATAATTTATTCACTATAAGGTTTGACTATTTCCAATGCTTGAAAAATATAATTAAATTGAAAAGACAACACAAGCGTTTATTATTCACATAATTAGTAAAACACTTGGTGTGCAAGGAAACACAAGTGAATTTCAATATGAGATTGAAGTGCTTAAGTGTTCAATTACAATCAAGGATTGTAATAGGCTTCAAAAATGGTTCAACACTACTCACATCAAAATTTTGATTAACTCAATTATTTGCCCACAAACTCAGAAATTAAGTAATTGAAAAGTAAAGAGAGAACACCAATTTGTTGAGGCAGTTCCCCCGTCGTCCTCGCTCGAGGTACGTCCGCCCTTAATTCTAAAAATAGAACTGAGACCTGTATATAGATATAACCTGTTGGTAAATGTTTACAAGAGAAGCAATAGAAATCAAACGATCAAACACAATTGTTGTTGTAAAGCCTATTCCTTCTCTTCCCTTGATTCAAGCTGAATCAAGTCCTTCGAATGCGATGAATAAACCTCCAATTATGGCACACCCTTTGAACAACCCCACGGTCTTCAAATCTTGCCCGACTGATTTTAATCACCAACGCTTCGAACCCAAATCTTCCTCTCACAATCCTTCGGTTACCGCTACTAAACCGACAGAACAACCCGTTCTTCGATTACCTTCGCTCGGCTGAATCTGTGATGGACCGATTCATGCAAAAAAAACCCAAAATCCAAGATTCTTGGAGGACAAAACCCTAATGGTTTTATTCAAGAAAAACCTACTGATTTCTCAACCCAAACCTGATTACACCAATCATATGTTTGGACGTTATCACCTCTAACAAGCAGAATGCACAACAAAAATGATTATGTGTAGTTGTTGAGAAAATGTAAGGAAGAGGATGAATATGATGAGAATAATCAGTATCTATTTTTACTTTTCTTGTTGTTGAAGAAAGAGAAAAACTCAATATATATGCAAGTCAAAAACAATTAACCAACATAACAACCACAAAGACTGTTTCACATAACATAATTTTAACTGAAAACACGCGAGAGATCGACCTATGCAGAAAGAAGGGTCGGCCTGAGCTTACCCGAATTCCAGATTATGCAGAAAACAGAACTTTGTGTCGACCAGAGCAGGTCATGCGTCGATACAAAGCAAGCAGAATTAGACAAATAGTAATGAACACAGTATGAGTCGATCAGAGAGTCGGCGCGAGCACTCCTGAGAGTAGACCATTCAAAATTCTTTCTATATGAGTTGACTAGAACAAGTTTGAGTCGACTCAAAGACCTAAAATATGCAAAAATGCATATTTTCATGAATCATGCAACCTTTGAGGTACTCTATCACATAATAAGCTAGACAAACTTGACTAAACTTATATGAAGCATATATTGAACAATTTCTATATGTATCAAACAATGCTTCTGACCGATGTTTGACTCAAGAGGGATAAGATATGTATATGTGATATAATGATACCGTCCAAAGTACATTTTTCTACCTATCTAAGTTTTGACATCATTAAAAGAAGTGTAGCTACCTATAAGGATTGCCCTCACAATACCTTCCTCTCGTGTAATCGACTTCCGAACCCAAGACTTGGTTGTGAGACCACGTCTTCTCCCTTTTTGAGGATTTCTTTGATCTTTTCCTTTCCCCCGTCGGGATAAATAACGTACGGTGGCGACTCTTCTGTTTTTTCGGTCGGTTGTTTTTCACAATTGCGACAAGGTGGTATGAGAAGTTATAAAAGGCTTATGCAGAAGCATAAGTAATTGTAATCATGAAGTGTTTATAATGAAAATCTCTTGTGAGGCAAGAGGACTGGACTATTCTTTGTTAAGGGAGGAACCAGGATAAATCTTTTGTGTCTTCTGTTGTTATTTTATTTACTTATGTTATATCCACTACCAATGAATTGAAACAGAATCTAAACAACAGTTTTGATTCTGAAACTATGATCAGAAATTAAATTAAAATAAAGCGCGAAATACAATTCAACCCCTCTTCTTGTGTACTTTTCACACATTCATTCCTGACGAAAACTACGTTAGTCGGCCAAGATGGATATTTTACCTTATTTATAAAGCCATTTTTTTTTAATTTTTAAACCTCTTCACCAACGGTCACTATCTTCTCCTAGCCTACCTTGTGTTTCCTTTAAGAAAATGGCTTCACCGTGAGATCAATGGTGAGGTGGTGGCGGACACTTATTGTATTTATTATTGGCAAATCGGAGGGGTGCCTATGCAAATAAATCTATGTTTCTCTTCAGCAAGGCAATCAACTCGTTCTCAATAGAATTAAATAAGGAGGTTCCTAGTTTTGTGACTTAATGGTCCAAGGGTATAATCTATACTTCTTTCATGTCATTTGTAGGAGTAAGTCTTTCATTTTTAGTTCTAAGTCTAGGGTCCCAACTTGCAACCTTTGCTTCTTATGATCTGGATGAAGGGAAACATCTAAAGCGATGCACTCTCTTTTCATTTGTAAGTTATTCTAAATTATTTCCTAAGAGACCTCTTGGTCCCTCCAAAAATAACCCAACCTGCCCGTTAGGTAATAAATACTTCAGGCTCAGGTGAATTGTCGAAAGGACCACCCCTAGCAAATTGAGGGTGGGCCTCCCCGGGATGGCATTGTATGGAAACAAGGTGTTCACCAAGATATACTTTACTTTAATTTTTTATGCGTTTGCCTTTAATCCTATCACTGCTTTGAGCGTTAGATGACCCTTCACTTGTTCCTGTTTACTCGATAAACCAACTAATGATCCTTTGAATGCTCCGATGGGTCAAGTTGGATCCCTTAGAAAATGCTATAAAATAAGATATTTATTGAGCTTTCAAGGTCGATTAATACTCTCTTTATATCCCAATCATTGTATTACACCGTGATGACCATGTAATTATCACAGTCAAATTGCATATTCATTGGAGAAGGTTATTTTTTATCCCGGATCTCTCCCAAGGGTTTTGGTATTTCCGTCAAAATTGGTCTAACATACTTTCTCCAGGTGGAAGTAAATTATCTCCCACCAGCAAAACCCCAAGCAGTTGTGTTGACATTAGTCTCGAAACTTCGTTTAAGCATCCTCTGAGGGAAGGTTGCAAAAATGATAAGTGTGGCCCAGGTCAATTTTACTTAGGCCCCACAATGGGCACCAATTCTACTTCATGCAAGAAGTTGAGAAGTTCTATAAGTGGTATTTGGTGTAATGAATTGGATCCCCCTCAACCTTAAGGTTAAGATAGTTATAGAATTTACTAGGGATGGATCTCAGACTCCCAGGAAGTAACAACCGATTTTTGAAGTGAGAACAAATAATTAATCCTATTATTTAGGAGAACGTGAACAATTCCATATTGTTTCCCTCTTTGCACCGTTTTGGATTAGGACATGCCACTTCCCACTTTCTAAAGAATCAGGTGAGTTATCTAGGGATATGGCGACATATTTGAGAATGACCGCCCATCCTTATAAATAGGCGAACAAAGAGTCTCTTACATGTGCGACATACCACCTCGCCTATCATGAGAAAATTCGAGCGGCCAAAGGAGGACATTTACACTTATATCAGTACAAATTTATATCTCAACTCCTTAGTGAGGTCTAAATCAACCAGCACTCTAATAAAGTAGCCAAATGCCATATCAAAACACGATTTGTTTGAGGTTGATTCGATGCATAAGGGGATGCTAATTCTATTAGTAATTGGTAATAGGGTTTTGATCCTCCAAAATTTTCGCAAACATCATATGGATTATTCCATAATCTAAGTCCGAGCCTAGGTTTGTTTCAAAGATAAATGAATGAAGTATTTACTCCAAGGGAACAACTTTGAGAGGACTAAAGCCAAAGTTCCAAGAGTTGGCTAACTTAACATTCTATACATAATCCATCAATGAAAACAAAAATTCAAAGTATCGTTTAATTAAATAAGTGATTCTTCGATATCCAATAGAGCTCCACATAGAAGAAAACTTGTGAAACAAGTTAAACATTATGAGCGGAGTTGCATCTTTAGACTAAACGATACAACGATAAAAATTGTACTTGCATGCTTCGAGCTCGAATTGGTATTCTTCTATCGAGATAGTGATTGCTAATTTCTCACATTTCCTACATGATTTAGTGAGTTGATTTGGAGGTTGGGTTTATTCATTTGGTCGGATTTGACAAGTTGTAAAATCTTGTATATAAAATTAAGGTGACAACTTCTCTATCCATTTCTATAAATTGGATAGTATACTTCTAACAAATCATTTAATGTCATTTAATTTTTTCATATTTATTTATTTATTAAGTTATTTAAATTTGTGAGATTTTCAAAAACAATTTATTTAATGGATAATTCTACATAAATTTTTATGATGTATAGATAAGAGTTTCTCAAAAATCAGTATTAAATACACAAATGACAATCTTGTAAATAAGAAAGGAGATACTATCTTCAAATTAGAGTCAATGACTAAATGGAGTCAAATCTAGGAAGTGGAGAGAAGATGGCCACTAACTGATTGCGAGAGAGGAATGGAAGAGTCAGCAAGTAAAAAGATTAAGGTACGAATAGCAATCCTATTTCAATAATCTCTCCCATTCATAACTCGTCCAATGTGAATCACATGCAAACAAAGTGAAATAAAATATCTAAAGTGGACCACCGACCAATATAAAAATGTGAACACTAAAAACCATGAATGAAATTCAACTATATAAAACTGAAACATATTCCTGTAAAAAAACACTCTTTGTCTTCTTCAATTCTTATATTTTTCTCGTAGCACTGTATCACCGATTCATCATCATGCTGAGTCTAAGAACTTGTCCATCTCTTTCCCTCCCATTCTCACCATCCAAACAATCAAAAAACCCCTCTCCATCCTTCAAACCCTACCACCAATCTCCACCGTCCAAATCTCAATCTTCAATCAAAATCTCTTCATCTTCCGCACCTCACTCCCAAGGGATAGAACATATTGTACTCATAAAAGTCAAAGAAAATACAGAATCCTCAAAAATCAATGCCATGATCAACGAGATGCAATCATTAGTCACACTTGAACAAGTTCGTCACCTTACTCTAGGACCAATCCTAAGCAACAACGAAACCGCATCAACAACAATACCTTTATCAGATCTTCGTTACACTCACTTGTTCCATAGTCGTTATGATTCAGAGGAGGATCTTCAAACATATAATGACCACTCTAAACATATTAACGCTGTAAGAGGATTTATTTTCCCTATCTGCGACGACCTTTTGGTGGTCGATTGGATAGCCGGAGACATTGCTCTCCCGCCACATCCTTCGCCCGGTACTGCATTTCGGGTGAGTTTCTTGAAACTCAAGGAAGAAAAGGAGAAGGACGTTGAAGTTAAGGATGAGGTTTTTCGGGCTATCGGAGATATTAAGGAGAATGTTGGAGGAGTTAGTTATGTGTCTTACGGTGAGAATATATCTCCGGCTAGGGCGAAGGGGTTCTCGATAGCGTCGCTTGTGGTTTTTCCGGGACGGGAGGAGTTGGAGAGTGTGGACGCTGGTGAGGGTTTGGTTAAGGTTAAGGAGCATTTGGAAAGTGTGGTGGTGGTTGATTATGTGGTTCCTTTCAAGTAGTGTATAGTTTAGTTTGCAAGGTTTGTTTGATGATGATGTTATTGGTTTTTTGTGTTTGATGTTATTTGTAATAGTACAAGTTCAGTGATGTTTGTGTTCCTGTTAGATTGATATTTTGAATGTCGCACACTACATTTTAAGTACAATGAAACCAGAGAATTTTATACGCCCCTACACCTGCGTTAAAAAGATTATATATTTTTCTTTAACTAAAAATAAAATTGTCTAATTTAATTAACTTTTATTACTTTTCAAAATCTTTTAAAAAATAATGGATTTTTTTTATAATTTGAATGATATTTATAAGCAAGTCTGAGATTTTTTTTCTCATTTCTTATATTTATAAGCAAGTCATAAATTTGATAACTTTTACATAAAAGGTATCAAAATTTTAAAATTTTATTTGATTTTTGGATAAATCTGATATATAATAATGGCTTACACCAAATTTATAGAAAAACCTCGGGGGACATTGGGTATTTAGAAAAACCTTATATAAAACTGCATGGGACAAGGGGATCCACTACCCCCAATTTTTTTTTTAACAAGGTTTAACCGAGATTCACTACTAGAAAAAAGACATTTGGGAAAATTATTTTACATCGGGTATTCACTCGAACCAATGTAAAATCTAAAAATATAAACACGGTGGCAGTATCGTAATTAATAAAAAAAAGTTTTATAACATCTATTACATCGGGCCAATCAATCCACCGATGTAAAAAATTAAAAAAAATTAGTAAAAGGGTTTTTAAATCGGGTATATTTCCAACCGATTTAAAAAATAATAATAAAAAATAATTAATGAATGAGATTTTAAATCGGTTCTTAAATCCACCGATTTAAAAAGCCACTCAAAAATAATAATAAAAAAATTAATAAATTAGATTTTAAATCGGTTTTATTTCCACCGATTTAAGAAGTTATTTAATTCATTTCCTTAATTAATGAATGGGATTTTAAATCGGTTTTCAAATCCACCGATTTAAGAAGTTATTTAATAAATTATTTTTTAAATCGGTCTTAAAATCCACCGATTTAATAAAACATAGATTTTAAATCGGTTTAAAAACCCACCGATTTAAAAGATAATTAATGATTGCAGAGTTCAATGGATTTATTTTTAACAGGACGTGAGGGAGTTGGAACTTGATTTGCAGGAGCAGAAAGGACGGTGGTTTGGGCATAAAACGTTGTGGCAATTTCAACCAGTCTCTTCTCAGTAAGTGGTTGTGGAGGATTACGGCTGATTCATCCACTATTTGGAAGGATCTCTTGAATTTTCGTTATGGTAATTTGCTATCTTCGATTTTTAACCAATCAAACTATTCGTGGAAGAAGACTCAATTTGGTGGAGGGACTTGATGGGCCTTCGGGTTATTCCTCCTTCTTCTTGCAATTGGTTCGCACACAATGTTTGTTACAAATTCAGAAATGGAAAATCAATTGGATTTTGGAATTTTATTTGGATGTGTAACGAATCATTTTCTTTTGCCTTCCCTTTTATTTACAATATTGTAGCAAATCGAAATGCAAAGTGTTAACACCCGAATATCACTTAATGCCCACAACAACAATGCTGGAAATACTGATAACCCAAAGTCCAAAACAACTGCAGAATATCAGCCCAAGAAGAGAAACCTCATATCGTATAAAGAGTAGATCCAAATACCTTAACAACTATGATTGAAGAAATAGGATAGCTGTAATTCAAATATTAGTATCCTAGGATTCTAGAAGGTTACCAGCTCATCAAATATAGTTGTTTCTGTTAGGATACATTGTTAGAATCTAGTAGCAATCCATATATTCTAGGAGAGCCATCGGATTGAGTGATCAATTGTAATCCTAATTGTATGGAACTGCTATATAAAGGCTAGCAGAATGAGCAATAAAAGGGAGGAATATTTCCCTTTCTATTAACCTGTTAAGGAGGCCTCATTGTCCTATGACTCAAGAAATATCTAACACCTAACAATTTGGTGCTTTCATCGATCCTCCCTCATTTTTTCCATGGCAACCAGACCTACAAATGCAGAACGACTTGATGATTTATCAGGAAAAAGTCGACCTTATCATCACCCAATTAGCCACCCTCACCACTAACCCACCCACCACCACCACCACCACACCCACAAATGAGGGCTGGATCTTTAAAATCAACCAATTTTTTTATTATCACAGAACACCAGACGAAGAACGACTCACTGTCGCCTCTTTCTACATGGAAGGTCCAACATTAAGCTGGTACAAATATATGTTTCGTAACGGTCTCGTCACTACATGGTTCGAACTGTTACAAATCCTTGAAAGAAGGTTTGCTCCAAGCTACTACGATGATCCCAACCAATCACTTTTCAAACTAACACAACGCGACTCCCTCAACCAATATCTCACCGATTTCGAACGACTTGCTAATCAAATTGTTGGCTTACCACCTCCTTTCGTTCTCAACTGCTTTATCTCAGGCCTCTCACCAGAGATACGCCGTGAGGTTCAAGCTCTGCAACCCTAAAACCTCTCACAAGCCACTACTTTAGCTAAAATCCAAGAAGATAAACTCGACGAACGCCGTCGCGGTTTTAAGAAACCTACCCATTCCCTCACTCAAACTTCCAACACCAACCCCACAAATTCTCCCCAAACAAACCCCACCACCCCTCAAATTCAGTTTCACAAATTAACACCAGAAGAAATGACCTCTAGAAGAGAAAAAGGCCTTTGTTACAACTGTGACAAAACCTTCATCCCCGGCCACAAATGCAAAGGTCGTTTTTTCTTGCTTGTATCAGACGAACCAGAAAGCGAACAAACACATCCTATATAAACACTTGAACCACCCCCCGTTTCTAACCACGAACTCGATTACAAAAACCAATTAGATGGACAAATCAGCCTACACGCCCTCTCCGGCTCCGCCGCCACCGCCATTATACGTATCATCGGCAAAATTGCTAATCACCCTGTCACTGTACTCATCGACGATGGTAGTACACACAACTTTATTCAGAGTCGCATGAAAAAATTCCCGAACCTTCCTTCCACTCCTGTTAACACTCTTAAAGTAATGGTTGGTAAAGGACACCTGCTCGAATGTCAGAGCCTCTGCGACAACGTGGCACTTACCCTTCAATCCCACCCGTTCACCATGGATTTCTACGTTCTCCCTCTAAGCGGTGCAAACATTATTCTTGGAGCTCCATGGCTTAAGTCATTGGGCCCAGTTATTATGGACTATTCCACACTCACACTTTCCTTCACATGTAACAACACCCCCATCTTACTACAAGTCGATGCAACCAAAAGCCCAACACCAATTTCGGCCTAACAATTAAAACGTTGTGTCCAAACTAATTCAGCCTCATAATTTTTTCATATCCAAATGCTTCATCCCACAGACCTATCCACACCACATACTATACCCGACCCACATCCAATCCCTCCCATCAACAACTTTCTTCTACAAAATTCCCAAATTTTCAACCCTAATTCTGGCTTACCTCCGTCACGTACCTCTGACCATCGCATCCACCTCCAACCTTTGTCTTCCCCTGTCTCCGTCAAACCCTACCGCTACCCCTTCTCTCAAAAAAATGAAATTGAACACCAAGTCAAAGAAATGCTTCAACAAGAACTTATACGCCCTAGTCGGAGCCCTTTCTCCTCACCGGTGTTGCTCGTAAAAAAAGAAGGATGGATCCTGGAGATTCTGTGTCGATTATAGAGCACTCAATTCTATCACCATTAGAGACCATTTTCCAATGCCCACCATCGACGAACTGCTAGACAAATTGGGTGGTGCTTCCTGGTTCTCCAAACTGGATTTGAGACAAGGATTCCATCAAATTCGAATGTCTGAGGAAGACATAGCTAAAACCACTTTCCGAACCTACGAAGGTCATTATGAATATCGCGTTATGCCCTTTGGGATCTGTAACGCACCATCCACTTTCCAAGCAGCCATGAACGAACTCCTACAACCATTCCTACGCCAATTTGTCGCAGTCTTTTTTTACAACATCCTTGTCTACAGCCTCTCCCTCGAACTTCACCTCAAACATTTGGAACAGGTTTTTCACAAACTACTCGATGGTAATTTCTACCTCAAACGTTCCAAGTGCTCATTCGCCCAAAGACAACTTGTTTACCTCGGCCACATTATTTCCATTACTGGGGTTCAACCCGAACCATCTAAAATACAAGTTATGGTGGAATGGCCTCAACCAACATCCATTAAAGCTCTCCGCGGCTTCCTTGGCCTCACAGGATTCTATCGCAAATTCGTCAAGGGCTATGCTTCCATTGCTGCACCACTTACCGCACTACTGTGCAAGGATGCTTTCATCTGGTCCCCAGAAGCTCAATCTGCATTTAACCAGCTTAAAACAGCCATGACTCAAACCCTAACCCTTACATTACCAGACTTCTCTTTACCCTTCAACATAGAAACTGACGCTTCTGGTACAACCATGGGTGCAGTACTCATGTAAAAATCTCACCCAATTGCATTCTTCAGTCAACCCTTCTGCAATAAACTACAACGCTCTTCAACTTATGTTCGCGAACTACACGCCATAACTTCTGCTGTTAAAAAATGGCGGCAATATCTCTTAGGGAACCGTTTTACTATTTTCACCGATCATAAAAGTCTCAAGGACCTCCTTTCACAAGTTATACAAACACCCGAACAACACATATATCTCTCTAAACTCCTCGGCTACGATTACTCCATTCAATACAAAACAAGAAAGATTAATGTAGTCGCCGACGCGCTTTCCAGAGCTCCCGAAGGCCCAGGTACGCACCTTTCTTTCTCTATTCCTCACTTTCTCTTTCTGGATCACCTTCGCCAATCTCTACAAAACAGCCAAACATTCCACAAACTACTTGACCAAATACAAAACAACCCAACCTCATTTCCAAACTACAAAATCCACCAAGGACTCATAATTTACAAACACCACATCTGGTTGGATCACCAAAGCCCCTTCTGTAATCAG